GTCCTTTTGTTGATATGTATCACGTTGATTGATTTTGTGTATGTTCAACCATCCCTGTGTCTCCTGGATGAATCCATCTTGATCATGGTATATGATCTTTCTAATGTGTTGTTGGACTCTGTTTGCTAATATTTTGTTGAAGATTTTTGCATCTATGTTCATCAGTGATAATGGCCTGTAATTTTCTTTTTTGGTTTTGGTATCAGGGTGATAGTGGCTTCATAAAATGAGTTTGGGAGTATTCCCTTCTCTTCAATCTTTTGAAAGAGTTTGAGAAGGATTGGTTGAGTTCTTCTTTGTATGTTTCATATAATTCCCCAGTAAAGCCATCTGGTTCTGGCCTTTTGTTTGCAGAGAGGTTTTTTTGTTGCTGATTCTATTTCACATTGGTCTGTTCAATGATCTATTTCTTCTTGGTATAGTTTTGGTGGACTGTATGTTTCTAGAAACTTGTCCATTTCTTCCAGGTTGTTCAATTTGTTGCCCGATTTTCTCAGACTCTTAATAGCTTTGAAAATTATAACTCAGTATTGTATCAGGGAGGAAGAAAGTTTCTTCTCCCCTTCTAGGTTCTTCTTCTTAGGATTAAATTGACATAAGAACAATTAATAGAAACTCAAACAAAAGTTTTAATATCATGTATACATGACAGAGACCCAGGAAAACTGAGTAGCTCACCAAAACGGCCAAAATCTTCACCTTAAATACCATTTTCAGCTAAAGACAAAAGAGTATGTAGGGGTTGCTGTTTGGGACTTCAAAGGGGAGGAAAGCAATTCACATGGAGATGGAAAAGCAAATGTTTGGTAAATAAATGTTTGCTGAGTCCTACAGAGACAGTGGGGTGCAGAGTGGACTCTGATCTCTAAATTTCCCTCAGCACACCTAGCACATATTCTTTGCAGGTAGCTCTGATGATACCTCTGCTCTGGGAACCTGCCCTTGGTCTAAATTCTTTTAGGCAGTTGAAGAAAGATCAAAGTTTCTTCCTGAGTCTTTTGGACCTTGGTTATTTTCAGGTGTAAATAATCTATATGCCAGGGAGACATTTCAGGCAGTAAATTTTGCTCTCTTACGATTGTATAATTCACAGTTTTTAGGAATTTGATGCATGTAAGGTATTGATTGTGCCTATGCTGTGAACTCTACTGCAGTAAGAACTACAGGGGATACTGAGGTGAAAACCTGTGATTTTTGGCCTTCATGGTATTTCTGACTCAGCCATTCATTTGGTCACCTTTCAGTTACAAATCAGTGAGATTTGACTCTGTTTGTGTGTTGGATGTTGATGCTGTTTTCACCTCTGTGGACTTCTAATGAGTAAACCCTCTTGCTCCAGAAAAACCAAATGATGGAGAACAGGGCAGGGGTTTTTAAAGTGGGGCCCTTTGATCTTTCTTGAGAACCATCTAGGACAGCTTTTAAAAATGAAGACTCCTGGGCCTACTCCAGCCCTACTGAAACAGAATCTGGGTGCTGATCCAGTAATCTGAAAGGTAGACAAATATTTGAGGTGATTATTGTGGGTACGGGGCCAACGACCCACGGTCCTCAGTGGAAGAGCTCACAGGGGACACTGCAGTCATAGCACCCGGCAGGTTTTTAACAGCTCGGAGTGACAGGACCTCTGTGGACAATGATGGAGCTGCATCTGCAGGTGGCTGTGAGGGCTTTTTTTTCATGCCCCCCACCCCACCCCACCCCACCCCTTGGAGTTTTGTCAGCTGTCAAGTGCGCATGCTCTGTCATATCTAGAAATGCCTTGTTTGTACACGGGAAGGAAAAGAGAAAGGGGATGTAACCCAGGGTCCCAGAGCATCTGTTTTCTAGGCCTTCAAGTTCTTCTCCACTTCTTTGTTTTGAATTCCTCCTTCCCCTGCCTGCCTTGCCCTGACTGTTGGGTCCCTATCAGTGATTCTTTAAGAAACTGGAAGTTGGAGAAATACCACCATGGTGAATGATGTGAAATAAAGTGTAGATCTGAAAAAATGAGATTGAATGATGTCTGCTAGTATAGGCCCAGCCAGAGTTTCTTTTTCTTTTTCCCAGTTAAATGTAGATACATTTAAAGTTAAAGGTGGAGAAATAATAGAAATTGTGTCTTTTTATCCCCTATTTCACCTTTTCTCGGGGGAGAAGTTGCCATGCTCTAAGGTACGTTTTCATCTATAGAAGTCCTCAGAGATGATTCTTCTGGGAAAAATCAGGCCGACCGAGTTTCTTTGTTGTTTGCAGTTTTATACTTTATAAAATTCCATTTTGAAGTTTTCTAAAGAAAACCACATGCTTAGCAAATGCTTCTCTCATTGACAAATGTCCGGATGCTAAGTATAGTTGGCCCTCTGTCTGCAGGTCCCACATCCAAGGAGTCAACCAATTTCGATGCACGGTTGGTTGACTCCACAAATACCAAGCCTGCATATGCCAAGGGCTGACTGTCCTATGCCACTTTATATAAAGGACTTGAACATCCATGGATTTTGGTGTCTATGGGGGGAGTAGAGAATGGGGGGCCCTGGAACCACTACCCTCCAGATACTGAGGGATGACTCTAGTTCATGTGGCAATTTGATGCAAGACCTTCTGGTTCTTGGGGGAAGGTGCTGAGATACATACAGGGGTATGTATTTACAGCTACAAGCACATACTCAGACTGCTTCGGGTTGCAGTTAGTCTTTGCGTAATATACTGCCAGCCTTCTTTGGATCCAGTATGGAATTACAACTATTTAAATCAATTAACATTCCCATCTTGATTCAGTGGAAGAGAGCAAGTTTTTATGCCAGTATGTGGGCTGACCCTCATGCCCTACTTTTCAGAAAAAAATATCAAGTGCCTTGAGTTTTTGTGTTAATGGGGATTGAGAAGCTGTCAGTGCTTACTTCCCTTTTGGTTCAGGTCAGCATGATTGACCTTCACCTTGTGATCTGTGTAACACATACGTGTGTGCTGGAGATTAAAGTGGAAAGAGACAAGGGAGGAGGGAGGCAGGTCGAAGAAAGGTGTGGGAGAGGCAGTTAGTAATTTATAATGTGACAAAATCAGTCATTTTAAATAAAAATTAAAAGGAATACTGCTGTGTATTATATATGTTGCTACAGGATGAGCGGATGGGATATCCTTTTCAAATGCACTTTCCATTTGTTTTTGCAAAGGCAGTTAATACCGTGACAAATGTACTCCAGGTTTGTTGAGGGCCCTTTCCATGGCTGATAAGAGTGATTTAGGGTCTTCTGACCAACAGGGGACACGTGGAGCTGATCCTTTCCTGGTTGGTGTGCTTTTGCCACTTTCAAATCACCTGTAGTGACCGACTCTCCTGGTTTGCCTGGAAGTCTCTCAGTTTTAGCACTGAGATTTTTAAATCCTGGGCCAACAATAGTTGGTCACTCTAAGTTTTTCCATATCCAACCTCATTAGACAGATATTTTCTAATGGGATATTTAGTCAGCTCTGATGCTCTGTTCTTTGATGTAAACCTACAGCTTTGCTCTTGATTGCTTTGTTTCGTTTATCTTGAATGGTAGCAAAAGCACAGAGGTCTAAATTGTGACCATTTGAGTTTAGACACCTGTTCCGTTGACCCAGCACTTGAGTGCTGGAAGGTTCTTTAGCTTTTGCACACAGCACTTCAGCTTCTGCATAACTCTTTTTCTAGATGAAGCAGCTGAGGCTTGGAAATGGTGACTGACTGACTGTTCAAGTCCACTCAGTTAGCTAGAAATAGATCCAGAACTTGCACCCCAGTCCCCTGACTCCCAACCCCATGCTTTCCTCAAATATGCTTGAAAGGTGCCCTGGCCTCTCAGGGGAGTTAATTTTCTTTGAGAAACCAAGCAACTTTGTACCAGGAAGAAGCTGATTGACTTGGATTGTTCTCCATTAATGGCTCCCTGGAATTCCCCTGCAAGAGATGACAGATTCATTTTGAAGGAGCCCTGGCAGGGACTTCTTCCCTATAGTGGGACTGTCTCCTCCAGTAAACCTGTGTCATCTTTAAAGAGGAAGAGGTTAATAATAAAGGTATCTCATTCCGAGGAAGTGGTCTTGTGATCCTGTTATTTCTATTAATATTTCCAATTAATATTTTATCTTGAAATAATAAGCAGCAGTAGCATTTTCTGGTTACCTCCTGTTTAGAAGACATCAATGTTAAATGTTACTCCCTCTGAAAGACTTGCAGCGCCATCATATTTTATTTATAGTTGAAGCTCAGTATTCTAAACCAGCGTCTACATCTTCCATCTGTTCTGTAATATCTCTTCCATCAAACCAGGAAAAAAAAATTCCCTAAAAACAGAATCTTGAAATTCAGCTGGAACAATTGAAGAGCCAAGTCAATATTTTCATCGTGAGATGGCAGCCCCAGTGACTTTTTAAAATGAGAGCTGTTCTTCCAGACTAAGTTGGAGAATTAAAAGACCGTCTTTTATTCAGTGAGATGCTGAGCAAGTCTTAAGACTCAGCAGCAAAGAGAGCAGAGTTACTCAGTTGAGAGCAGGGTTGTTATGGAATTTTCCCCTGGTCTAATTTTATTTCCTTGACTAAATGAATCAATAAAACATTTTAGTCTAATATGTTTCTATTGTCTTTTTCCCACTTAAAAAATATCCTGTAAATCAGCAGAATTTAATGTTCCAGGATGACTAGGCCATTGGGGAGAATTTTTATTGCATCAACGCCTTTTTAGTTGGAAAGTTTTAGAACGCTGACTGATGGATCCTTAGAGCTATGATATTATTAGCATAAATCCAGTGGTAACTAATTAATAGCTTTCTCAAGATGAATGGACCTTTAAAGATTTCCAGAGAAGGATGGTTCATAGTAGGTCAGTGTGGACAAAGGCCAACTCACTTTCTGAATGAAGACATCAGACTTGTTTAAAAAAAACAACAAAAAAAAACGAAAAAACCCCAACTTCCCTGCCGAGAGCATGTGATGGGAGCCATTTGAATTGGTAACTGTAATACTGATTGCCAACCCTCTCTTCTGTTATCAAGGGAACTATCCAAGATGGGAAAATCATCTTTATGCCGAATGGATACATAACACAGTGTCCGAACCTGAACCGCAGTAAGTAGCAACTTAAAGTGTTTGTGAATTAGTAATATTTTAAAACTTCTTGGTAATATCAAATAAGCATGTTGGGAAGGATATATACACAAACTGTTTACACTGTTGGCTTACGAGGTGGTGGGGATAGTGAGAGATCTTATGTAAGCTATATGCTTCTGTGTCTTTGGATTTTGAAGAAACTTACATATTTGTAGAATTTGAAGGTAAGAGAAAGATTACTTGAGCAGTTTTGGGGTCGGTAGACTGACACAGAAAGTCTGATATAATTATAGATGTATATGAATATAAAGTATTTTTTGAACTTCTTGACTTGGATATGGGTTTACTTTTTCCTCTTCTGTGATAATTCACAATTCTTCAGTCCCAATAAAAATCAGGGTTTAATTTAAATTTAATAATGTTTTGAAATTAAAAACATATGCCCTTTTTTTCGGTTAAAGTCCTTTTTTCTTGTTTATTTCTTTTTGCTTATTAATAAAAGGAAAAGATCTAGTTCTAAAATCCTCTTGTGAATTTGCTCCACTTTTGAAGCAATACCTAACCAGAAAAGCAGAAAACCCCTTCTCCATAGCCAAACAACCTTGCTTAATTTTTTTTTCTTGTATTAGCACAGTATCAACATTTCTTTTATGTTTTCTTTATTGAGCTTGCCCAACTTGCAGTGATTTCTTAAGCCTGGTGCAAGGAATAATGGATTTACAAGAGCTTTTGGCCAAGATGACTGCAAAAGTAGGTATCTAAATTTCACTTGTGATGTTTCATTTCTTTCTCCATCTTATCTGGAATCTAGAGTGATATGCTATAATGGAAACATTTTTAGGTTTGGCATCTGCAGTGTGTTACTATAAAAATAGTTTATTCTTACTTGAAATAGGACAACCTATAGCAAATATAACCATTTCTGTCTTTGATACTATTGGGCTATATCAAAGTGTTTCCTGGAAAAATGTCTGGAAGAAAAAGGCAGTATATATCACTGTAGATTTCCTGGGAGTGGAAAAGGAATTTGCCCATTGGCTATTAAACTAGTAACACTTGAGAGATGACAGATGGTCAGAGTCACTGCTGCTTATAGGCTAATGTATTTTGGATACAAGAATAATTGCCAGTAATCAGAAGGGGCAAAATAGCTATTGTTAGGAACAGATTAGTGTCACAGGAAGGCATTATATCGCATTTCTAATGTATGATTCACTTCAGGATTGGTCCTGAGTTAAACAACGAAGGAGGCAAAGTTTGCCTTTTGGCACCTTCAGTTGTCCAATCCTGCATCTTCCCCTCCTCTCCATCATCCTCTTAATAAGCATCTTCTGAGGCTCTGCTCTTTGCTAGGCACTGTGTTAGGCACATAGGAGGCAGTGATGATGAAGAGGACATGATTTCTACCCCAGAGACAGGCATACTGAGTGGCAGAGCCAAAAATGTAAGCAACTGGAGGTTTTAATATAGATTCACAGACTTTAGATTGAAAGTGGAAAGCCCTGAGCCTTGTGGAGGAAGGTACTGAATAAATAGAAAATGTGGCCAAAGCCATTGTTACGATACCAGCCAGTCGTGGACGTGAGTTCTGGCCTAGGGCGAAGAAAGAATCCCGTGGGGCCTCAGAGACATTGCACTCTGCAAAAGGAAGAATTTTAATAACAGTGAAAATGATCCATTAATCCTTTTCCACCTGCGGCTCTGACCACTCTGTTATCAGCCACAGCACGTGGGAAAAAATTGATGGGGAGGTAAGTGTTGGGGAGGTAGGGCTGTCCTCTGGTTCCAGAGATTGTGCTGTTGAACGTGATATTTCTGTTTCAGGCTAGGTTTTTGGTCAAGTCCCCTTTTGTCTGGAAAGGAGAGACAGCACCCTTTTGTAAAGAGAGAAACTAAAAGTGAGACTCAAGAGCTTTTGACTGCAGAGTGCAGTGGAAATGTGAAACGCAGGCAGTGATCTGCCTTCCCAGCTTGTGGTGCATACAGGCTTTTATTTCATATGGTCTGGAGCAGCTTGCTCTCAATGCTGTTAATTGTATTTTAGCTCGCTACTCAATTTTTTGAACAAGAAGCATGCCACTCAGCCGTAGGGGATTGCGGTTCTCCATCTTCCGGCCCTGAGGGTGCCCTTTTCTTTCTCATTCTTCCCTGTTGCAAGAATGTCATTTCCTCTTTGTAGCCGAGCATCATCCAGGAGCTACACTGAGCTCTGCCCTCAAAACACTATTACGTAAAATGGGCATCTGGGAGGCAGAAGATACTTAATTGGGGGGAGTTGCAAGCCAAAAATGGTCTAATCCACCTTCTAACCACCACCTCCCCTCTGCCGGCACTTTGGAAGATTTATAAGTCTGTTTCTTCCAAATCATGAAAAGAATTATAATTAAAAAACTGAGCACTTCCATTTTCACTGCAGCATTTGGACTCTGTGATAATCTAGAAAGTGAGTTGGCACACTTTTCCTTATAAAGGGTCAGCTAGTAAATTTTAGTCTTTGTAGCTCAAGAAGCAAAATTGAGATTATGGTGTATTTACTTATTTCAATTCAGTGTAATTATTTAAAGTACGTGAAAAGATGCTCAACATCGCTGATCACCAGGGCAGTGCAAATCAAAACCACAATGAGATGTCACCTCACACCTATCAGAATGGCTATCATCAAAAAGACCACAAGTAACAAATGTTGGTGAGGATGAGGATAAAAGGGAATCCATGAACACTGTTGGTGGGAATGTAAATGTGTACAGCCACTGTGGAAAACAGCATGGAGGTGACCTAAAAAACTAAAAATAGAACTGCCTTATGACCCAGCAATTCCACTCCTGGGTATTTATCCAAAAAACCCCCCCAAACCACTAATTCAAAAGGATACATGTATCCCAATGTTCGTAGCAGCATAATTGCCAAAATATGAAAGCAACCCAAGTGTCCATCAACAGGTAAGTTAATAAAGAAAATACACACACAGTGCAATACTTCTCAGCCCCAAATTAGTGGTTATTAGTAGGGAGAGGGAAGTGGGAGGGGCAAGATAGGGGATTAAGAGGTACAAACTTACATGTGAAATAAGCAGCAAGGATATACTGTATAACACAGGGAATATAGTCAATATTTTATAAAAACTGTAAGTGGAGTATAAGCTTTAAAAATTGTGCATCACTATTTTGTACACTTGTAACTTATATACTATTGTACATCAACTATACTTCAACAAAAAATAAAATAACACATAGCCACTGAAAAATGTAAAAATTGTTCTTAGCCCACAGACCATACAAAAATAAGTGGTGGGCCAGATTTTGTCCACGGGCCTTAGTTTGTCAACCCCTGCTCTTGAATAAGCTGGAAAGATACTCAGACAAGGCGATCTATATTGAGTCATCGCTATGTGTTAGTTACAATGCTTAAACTTTTTATATTAGCTGTCACTTTAATCCTCACAACAATCCTCTGAGCTAGGTTTAGGAGCCCACTGTCCAGGTGAGAAGACTGAGTTCCAAGACAGTGATGTAACTTTTCCCAAGAAAAGGACCTGGCAAAGCTGGGACTCAGGCTTAGATTCTGAAAGTAGGCTCACGACTGGGAAAGCTCATGGTTGGAGGAGAGAGGACTAGAAAGAGAACCGAAAGCTATGAAGAAGGAATGACTGATGGAGAGAGGGAGGTGCGCGCTACCAGAAGGAGGATGGCGATTTCAGTGAGAAGGAGGAGGAGCACAGAAGACTAGAGGAAAGAGGAGTGTGTATTCAGATGGTTCCTGTTGGGAATGAAACGTCAACATAGCTCTTCCTTTTGAAGGAGGAAAGTCAGGGCAGGAACAAGGCCTCGTAACTCACCCTTCTGGTTACAGCTGTTTGCTTTCCTTACACAGATGTGGGCATTTTCTGAGTCCTGGGTTCACATTGTGTGTGCTTCTGCCAGGACCACGTGGGGACCACTCCTATTGCAATGTCTCCTGAAGGGTTTGCGGATCACAGAGACTACTCAGAATCAGACAGCAAACCTAGGATAGTCAGGTGAATTCACAGCAGAGAATTCTTTAAGAATTCCCAAGGCAGGTATTTCCCTCCAGCCACTGCCACGATCTGAACAGGAAGGTCTTCCTTCTGTGCCTTGTACAAGCCTCATTTCCCACTTTTAAGCTGAGGGTACCGCCCTTTGGGGCCCCACCTTTATGGGTGTTTCCTTTAAGACGTCCCATCTTGGGTGGACCCTGTACTCGAACTGCTCTCCCCAGCCCCACTGTGCAGCCCTCAAGGTGGGAGCGCGAGGCTCCCTGTTCGGCAGACATCTTCGGTGTGGACGTTGGCTGTGGTGCTCACTCGCCTCCCTGGATCCCTGGCTGTCAGTTGGTTCTGGCCCCTGTGGCTTTCTTCCTTTTGTGTCAGCTTTGTGATGATCTTTGAAAGTTTTTATTTGTGTATTTTATCCAGCATTTTAGTTCGTTTGATGAGTGAAGTCTCTTAGCATGCCTAGTCTTCCACCTTGGTGGAAGCTGAGTGTAATTCATCCCTTGGCAGAGGGCAGGAGTTGGAGTCTGGAGAGGGAAGCCAAACCAGAGGACAAACATGGTTCCTGTGTGCAGAGACAATTCTGTGGCACTGAGTCCGTGTGGATTCAGGCTTTGCCTTTAGTTAAATAAGCCTATCATGGCAAGATTTAGCTGATGGGTTTGGCGGTTTGGTTTGAGTTGCCCAGCAGCTATGATTAAAGTAGGCATTCATCGTATAGATCATGGTGTAGATAGAAAATGGGCTTTGGAGTCGGACTGATCTCATGTTGAATCTCATTTTTATCACTGAATGTTTGCAGCCTGGAATGAGTCCAGGGACTCCCCATATGTAAAATGATGACCTTTACTCGTTTTATAAAGATTCCGTGAGAGTTGCTGTCAGGGCCCTGGTCTAGAGCTGGGTGCCAGGAGGTCTCGGAAAGCAGCAGAAAGTCTTCACATCTGGGTCATGGTGGAAGCCATGGAACCCCCTGGAGAGCAAACCCAGGGCACGAGCTGGACAGGAGGTCGTAGCCGACATCACATCAAACCGAACAGATGCAGACACCAGATCAGCTCAGGGGTGTGCCCGCAAGGGCGTGCTCTTCCTTTTCTCCTTTCACGGTAGGGGGTGCTTGAGAATAACCGTGCCTTTGTTTGATTCAGGACAAATCAGGAGAGCAGCTTGCATGCAGCAGCTTCCGATGACAGAAGGTCAGGGTACAGATGAGCCCTCTTAAAGAAGCCCGACATTCTGGCAAACCCACACTTAGTCAAGGTGGAGGAGGTACAGGGAAGCTGTCCCTTTGCCGCCTCCCTAAGTGATCCACAAGAGACCGCCAGTCCCCTGGCTTACTCTGGAAGTTCTCCCAGGGGGGTCTTGACGCTGTGGTCACGCAGCGCCAGGTACCTAGTGATAGGGTCAGGCTCTGTCCTGCTCTTGCATCCCACCTGGGCTGTAATCACATTCTGCCTTCAAGCTCAGGAAGAGGAGATGAAGGAGATGGCCAATTTCTTGATTACTTTTGTTTAAATCTTTGACAAATCTATTTATGTAAATCAAGCAAATGGAGTGGCATTTCAGCTTGTAACAGATTTAATTTTGAGACATTGTTTCAAGGAGCTCAGTAGTGATTTTTCAATTAAGCTTAAAGGTTTAACACAATAGATTTCTTTTTTCCCTTTCATATGGCAAATGCTGAATAAATAATATTTCAAAGGAACAAAAGCAATCTACTGCATCGCTAATGTACTTAGATTCATTCATTGGCCTTTTACTGTGAAAAAGACCTCTGCTGTCTATCTTTGAACGTGTAGAGTGAAGAATAAACGATTCGGTCCCTGCTTCCTTAGATAAGTGGGTCAACAAAGGTAAGACGGAAAAGAGATGGAGATTTGATACTGTATCTATTTTGGATCTGCAGGCATTCTCCGAGAAAATGGCAGGTAGTGTAGAAACAGCTTTTGAAAACGAATTTGTATAAATTCAACATGCTGGTGCCAGTGACAGAAAATGTAATTCATTTTTGGATTTGAAGTTGTTTCTCTTTATTGTTGCTGCAGGATTTAGCAGGGGGAAAAGGAAGACAAGATTATGTACTAAGTGCTTTTGAAAAATTAGCTTTTTGCCTTAATATTCCTTTGTCTCTTTCTGTCTGATGTGCTCTTATTATTGCAGACATTATGGCTTGTCACTGTTGTCAGAAAAGGCTAAATATATTAAAAAAGAAAAAACAAACTCAGAAGGGAAACAAAATCAGCCCTGAGAATAGCTTCCATTGTATTAAAACGGAGGCTTTTCCTTAGAATTGAGTTTTGTAGGGGAGCAGAGCTCAGCTTTGTTGGACAGTACTGGAAATTGACAATATTGCCTTGAGGCAAGCGCCTAGATTTTCAGGCAACTTGGAGAGATACATAATTGCCTTTTGAGTCTTTTAGTCTTTAAGAAGTTCCCTTCTTGGGATGATACAGACACTAGAGTTACTCCAGACTTTGAGAGTAAGACGGGCACTTTCCTCTCCTCTTACTCCATGCTGAGCCACTGCGAGGAAGGATTCAGTTCTAGTGCAACTCTTTCTTGTTTGCTCCAAAGTCATACATCTATCACTACCTTATGTGGGAACTGCTGAAGTTATAGAAATGAAGTAAAGATAATATAAGTTATCACTTCCTTTTTATTCTCTCTTACCTACGTATGGTTTTGGTCACTTGATGTCACTAAGCTCTTCGAAGTATATTTTATCTGTGTTTCCTAAAGAATTCCCAGAGAACTTAATTACCATCACTTCTAGAAACTCTATGGTAAGGCTGGAGAGTTAAATGTAACCTGAAGTTTTGGAAGATCAAGTATAGTAGAGGAGTCAAGGGAAGATAACATTTCAGGCATAGTCAAGTCTCGGTTGTTGTTTTTGTTTGTTTGTTTGTTTTGAGCTGATTATAGTGCATGTGATTTGTTTAGGCTCCTACTGTTTTCCCTACCTGTTGGTAACACCCATGATAGGCTGACGAGGAAATTTTCTTGAGAAATACAAAAAGTTTAGAGGAAGAGGATGGAATAAGTGACAAAAACCAAGGTTGGAATTACACAAGGATTCCACTTCCAGAAAGTAGCCCTGTTGTGAGTAGTTGAGAGGAGTGGGGATGGACTAGAACCATAGAAAGTGTAGAAAGATGGTTAGAGTCCATCATTAGCCGCGTTCAACCATGATAGCTAAAACACTGGCTTGAAATAGTCTTAGTTTGGATCAAAAATTGATATGATCTCCTGTATGGGAAAAATACTCAAGATGGGGATGTATAAGTATGAGAAGGCAGAGAAACTACTTGATCACTGTTTAGGAAGTGCTATTTGCTTTTTAATTATGGTGGTCTCAATGTAAGAAGGGAAGAAGGGTGATGCGCTAAGGGGCTGAGTTAGTCCTTAGTATAGATGTGACAACAGAGAGCTCATACCACATTTTGGGGGTTTTGGTACCATATTTTTGAAGGCAAACTTTTCACGAGTACTCCACGTGAAAAGTGATCAAGAGGGAAGATTGGAACCGTATCACAAGGAACTGTTACGGGAACCTGGTGGTACTGAATGTGGTCCGGAGCCAGCATGAGGGCAGGGAAACCTCGCTTGTTTGTAGAGAGGTTAGACTTGTGCAGGGTTTCAAGGCAAAACTAGGTCTAGTGGGAAAAGGGAGAGAAATTTCATGGTTCAAGCCAAGAAAACTGTTTTAAACATCCAGAGGTAACCAAGAAGAGCAGTTTTCCTTGGAAGGTAATGAGTGTGCTGTCACAGTCAGATATGCAGACAGAGCATGGATAATCACTTGAAGGGGTTTCTTGTGACATCATTCAAACTTTATACACTTTCAGATCGGAGATTCTAAGATTCCATGATTAATGGTAGAAATTGGGTGACCTGGAAAGAGGTTGTTTTACAAAATCCTGATCTCCCTTGGGGATTCCGTTGCCTTTCCTGTCCTTCGTCCGAACACCAAAGTAAATTCCTGGGGCGTTCTGTTTGGGGGATCCTGAGCTGGGGAGAAACACAATGCACCTATGACTTTCCTTGCTTGTAAACCAGCCCCAGATCCCCAGACTTTTTTCCTTAAAGAGGAGACTTCCCAGTTTGTAAACCATGACGCTTTGGCTTGTGTGTGACGTTCACAGAGAGGATGGTGGGACATAAATGTAAATGCTTTGGAGTTCCTGATTAGATCTCCTGTAAACACTGTAATGAGTCCTGGAGAACACATTCATTACAAGTGTTTCCTTGCAGGCTTAAGCTGAAAGCACATACGTTGATGAACACCCGTGAAGTCCCTGAGATACAGTTTAATGTCTCATTTGGTGCTCATTAGACCATGGGAGCCAATATGTCTTCAATTTAGAATGATTCCACCTTGTGTGAAATTAAAAAACAACAACAGCAGCAGCAAAAAACCAAAAACAGATCTGGCTAAGAATAAGTTGGCTGCTTTGAGCATATTTTCTCTTCCTGCTTGGATTTATTTTTTCTTGTTGCGATTAGCTTTGTTAGGACAATGCAATTGAATTACAGAAATTACACCTAGTAACTCTTGTTTGCAGCTAAACTATGCAGAGACAAGACTTAGTCAGTTGGAAAACTGTCACTGTGAGAAGACGTGTCAAGTGAGTGGACTGCTCTATAGAGACCAAGACTCCTGGATGGATGGTGATCAGTGCAGGAACTGCACGTGCAAAGTAAGCCTCTGGATGTCAGCAGGCGAACAGTTTTAAGGGGGGCAGTTTTACTAAGTCTTGTGGAATCTGGTTCTTTATAATGCGAACTCTAAGAAGTGTTACCTTTTTACTAGGTGCCTGTTTAGTAATCCGAGCAATTGTGAAGGGAAGCTGAAAGTGTCATTTCATGTACAAATACTTGGAAATGAAAATCTGCTTTCCCATGACCACGCACTCCAACGTGATTTAATACCATTATTGGAAAGCTTACTGTTTGGAGTTGGGAACTTAGGCTATCAGAGGGAGGAAGGGACTCCTTTGATTTTCAAACAACCTAATGGTTCACTTCGTTCACAAGTTTTCTCTGCTCGAATACATTTTAAAAAGGGATTTAATTAGTTGCTAGGTGTTTTCATTGTATTTTATAAAGTGTGCATCATCTGTTTCAGAGAATAGCAAGAGCTCCCTCCCAAATTAGTATGGAAACGCTGTCCAGTTGAAATTATTTGATAAATATCTGAAGAATGCCATTGTTTATCTGAAAAAATACCGAACAATTGTTAGCGATTCGACAATGATTGACAGCGTCTGCGGAAGGTGTTATTTATGTTCTTGTAAAAATAGGCTTTTTGTTTTCTGCTTAATCTACTTAGCCCGTGTGGGCAGGTGGAATGAAGTCAGTGATGTGTATCAGAAAAGTAATTGAGGTGGCACGGGTTCACACAGGCTGGAGAAAATACTTTATTTGTGGTCCTGGAGTGGCCTGGGAATTCCTTGCACTGCTTCTGTTTCCCTGATGAAGTTCCAGGGATGAGAAGAGCTTTTCCCCACAAGGGAACTTTCAAAGGATGCTTCCACTGAGATTCCTTTCCTTGTCCTTCCTTCCCCAGAGTGGTGCTGTGGAATGCCGAAGGATGTCTTGTCCTCCTCTCAGCTGCTCCCCAGACTCCCTCCCTGTGCACATTGCTGGCCAGTGCTGTAAGGTCTGCCGACGTAAGTATTCTCTGAGGGTCAGAGTGGCCCTCTGTGCTTAAGGATTGGTTTATTTCTCAGGCCTCATTTGATTAACATTGAAGATACGAGGTACAGCACTTGATAGGAACTGCTATATTTTAATCACCTGAGATGTGCAGGCACTTTACATAGGCTGTTTTTTTTTTTTTTAATTGCTCACATCAACCCTAATTACTGTTCTTCCTGTTCTTCTGTAAAGGGAACTGGTATTCGTAAGGAGGAAGTCACTTGTTTGGGGGTCAGAGAACTGGTAGCGGTTGGAATTGATCTGTGAAGTCATGACTCCAAGGCTCCATGTGCTTTGGTCCCCTCATTCTGAAAGATCAAGTTAAGGGCCACATTCTGTGTCTGGGCTGTATGAGTCTTGGCCAGGTTTCCTGTTATTAAAGGACCTTTGTTAGGAATTTCAGGATTCACTTCAGTTAAAATACTGAAGTAGTTTCTTTCAAGGTTGGCATGTCCAAATTATATAATGATATAAAAATCCTTTTCCCTCTGTATTACAGAGGACACTATTTCAGATGAAACACTGAAATGAACACTGAGACAAGCAGTAAAAGTAAAAGCTGTCTCGTAGAATGCGTGGCACGTGCCACTTCACTATGCCAGGTGGTTTCATTCTATTAGCTAATTGAATCCTCACTACAGACCTTTAGGTGGGGATTATGATCCCTGTTTTATAGGGAGCTTCAGAAAGACAACTTACCGTGTTTGCAAGGCTAGTGAGCAACAGAGGTGATACAAAATGAGTTCTGTTTGACCACAAAGCCCATAGTCTTTTTTATCAAACCATATGCTCCTCTATAGAAAAGGAGAGTTTAGGTTAGAAGTGTGGTATCCTGTGGATAATTTTCAAGATCATTTCTCTGCCAGAAAACATCATCATCCCTAGGTCTTCAAAACACAGTGGTCTTGCTTTTTGTCAAGAACAGCATGTCAGCCTAATCAGACAGTGGAAGTGGGGATGGCTGGTCTGGTCATACCAGCCCAAACTTTTTAAAACACTCGTTCAAAAGGAGCTTTGGAAAATTTCTTTTTATGGTTGCACCAGTATACCTGTTATGCTGGAGGGCCTACTTGGAGTTGATCTAAAAAAGAGAAACTTTCTTACTTCTGTTCCAAGAGCTCTTGGAAGTCATGCCTGGCAGTACAGATAGACCAGATGCCCAGATGTTAAGATTATAGTCTGATTATATGATGGGAAGACAGTTTTTAGTAGGTACAGATTATTTTTTCTATCTTGATATTCTGTGTAGCAGTCAGCAGGTGAAGAAGTTGAAAAACTATTAGGAATTTAAAAATGAGACAGTTTTAATTCATTACTTTGAGCTCCGTGGACAGATCCATGACTGCTGTTTTGTGGAAGCTGTTTGAAGGGGGGGTTAGGTGAGTCCTTCAGCTGTTTTGTGTTTAAATCTTTTGATTTTCTTGAAAACAAGCACTCTTGAAATTTTAGTAGGTTTCATTTTTAAAAAAGTGAAATTTTGTGGACAGTTGAGATCTTATTGTGCAGCTAATTTTGACCTACTTTGTTGACTTTCATGATCACTTAAGCGTATTACTAAGCTTTTAAGAATTCTGTATAAACCTCATTTAATGAGCTTAGTAGTGTTCCACTGTTTGGCTGTTGTGTAACTTTTTAAATTGTTCCCCAGTTGTTGGATATTTAGGTTGTTTACCATTTTTTACTATTATAAATTACTCTTCAATAAGGTGTTTCATGAAAACACACTTTTGCATTTTATATTTTCTTAAGATAGAATTCTCCAGAGTAGAATTAGTGAGCCAAGAGACTGACACTTCCAAGGTCCTTGATACATATCATCCAATTATCCTCTCACTAGAAGTGTGTGGGCAGTCATTTTATTTTATTCCAATTTACTGGAGAGTTAAGTTTTCAAAAACATTTCAGAAAGTTACCCAGTTTTACCAAGATGCTGCTCTACAAGCTAGCTAAACCATCAGTGTGTTTTTTGCCTTTGTTTGAAATTCATAGCAATTTAGTTAGGTAGTACAAATTTTCTCAGCAGCTCCAATTGGTTGCTGGAGATGTTTATAATTTAATAAAATGGAAATAAGTGATTGAGAATACTACTCACTTACATGTGATTCAGCAATTCCAGTCCTGGGCATATATCTGGAAAAGATGAAAATGCTAATTTAAAGAGATACACAATGTTCTTTGCCCAAAAGATACCTAGTGTACCCCAATGTTCATAGAACAGTATTCACAATAGCCAAGACATGGAAGGAACCTAAATGTCCATCAATAGGTGAATAGATAAAGAAGATGTGGTATAAATAGATATACAATGGAATATTATTTAGTTACTAAAAGAACTGAATATTGCTGTTTGCAACAACATGGATGGACCTAGAGTCTGTCATACTAAGTGAAGTAAGTCAGGTGGAAAAAGACAAATGTTATATGATATCACTTATATATGGAATCTAAAAAACTAATACAAATCAACTTATTTATCAAACAGAAACAGACTCACAGACAAAGGAAATGAACTTACTGTTACCGAAGGGGAAAGGGGTGGCAGAGAGAAATCAGGAGAATGGGATTAACAGACACAACCACTGTATGTAAAATAGATAGAAAGGATTTACCGTATAGCACAAGGAACTATGTTCAATATCATATAGTAACCTGTGATGGAAAAGAATCTGAATCTGTGTGCCTGAAACTAACACAATATTGTAAATCAAGTAGTTGAATAAAAAGTAAATTAATTAAAAAATGCTACATAAAATAGAAACTTAAAAAGAAATTATACAGGACATTTCTGGTAATTGAAAGGCTGAAAATCTCTGACCTAGAGAGTTTTCATTTCTGACTAGTTTTTAACAGAAATGTGCATTAATCAGTTACTGAGTGCTGGTGCCTAGAATCGTTATAAAAGAGCCATCTCTGCTTCAGAGGGCTCCGTTTCAAGTTAGAGATGTAATTTACAGTGTCCAGGATTTAAGTGCCATCACATTAGGTGTGTGGCTGGGGCAGGCGCTGTGAGGGCGC